ACTAGCACTTTGCACTCAAAAGGGGGGGAACATACATTTCATGATGGTTGTTCTGCAAGTCGAAGCCCATTTGGGATGGAACAGGATTTCCAGCCGAGAACGAAGTGCTTGGAATTTGGCCATGACATCCTCTCTGGAACGTAAGATGAGGAAGGAGGCTGACAAAATTTTGGCAGTAACAAGCACTGATCATGCAAACCAGCCTCAGTCATCTGATGCTCTCCGCTCAGAAGAAGGGGATGGGCAACATGCATAACTTTACTTCGACATCGGCTGGGAGGAATCGGGAAATCCTGTCATCTACTACGAAATTCAATAAGGTGCTTCCGTAAGCTTTGCAAGCATATGAGCACTACTTTACCTTGACGCCCTCCTTCCACAAGAAAGGGAACAAGGTCGGTCTCCTGCTCCAATAACAAGTTAGTTCTGTTCCAACAAGGGCTTCAGGAACGTTTTGTCATCGATGACAAGAAGGTTCTTCTACTTCAAAGACTTATTACTATATTACATTTGAAGGGGAGGAAGAACCTTGACTCTGAAGTTGTCCTTCGACAGGAGGAAGGAGAGGAAGGACTTTTCTTCCTAAGCTTTGCAAAAGGATGAACGGCACTACTGCATACATCATATTCTTCTTCAATAAGTAGTTAATATTGTTCCTAGACTTTGCAAGGAGATGGGCAGCACTCTTACCTCCCAAGCTGTCATTGGACACTGAAGGAAAGAAGTTTTGTGCTTGTTCTTCAACTTCAAGAACTACTCGTGTCCGGAAAATTTTGTCTTCGTCCTCCGTTTAAACTTTCAATGTATAATGTTTTTGCGCGTTCTATATGTATCTTCCTATATACAAAAGGTTTAGACTGATTAGTATTGTTGAGTTTTGAAGACTAGATAGGTCTATGGTTCCCACCAATATAATATTATACATATGTATACTTCCAGTGGTTTATTTGCAATATATTGTTTTGATCTACGGACAAAATCGGGCTACAAATATCATAAGTTTCCGAGAGATGCATTAGAAACATGATGTATTATGTCTAGTGTCTGATAGAAAACAGTTATTTTGACCCAGTATCTACGATGGAATAGAAGGCCATATGAGGTGAAATTTTCTTTTTCCGTTGTGTTCAAAAATTCCAGGATTCATGACACTCATCAACTTTAGTCGTTGTAGTAACATTGAGCGACTACTACGTATTTGTTCAGCAGTACTGTAAGGGTGTAGACGAACCCGTGGAAGAGAGTCAGTTTCGAGACGAATGAAGCCTCCATTTTTCCAGCCTTAAATTGTTCTGCTGATTTGACCATCACATATACGATTGTCATACCATGGAAACACATCTCATAGATCTTATAATTGGAGGACTGACGAATGGTTTGTGGGTGGAGAGGGAGTTAAAATGTTCAAACTGAAGACATTGCAACTGTTTTAGTGAAATGAACTGTGCACATTTAACTAGTGCTGAGGATCTTGATTGACTTACTCTGGACAAAGAAGCTAAACAAGAACAGATCGTCATTGTCTTCTCTGATATACTACGTTCCGTGACGAAGTTCCATGACGGTTTAGATCTAAGTAATGTAGAGACATATCAGATCATAGGATAGCAATACTGGACGTACTTTGCAACGCAAGAAAGTCACACAGTAAATAAGCGACGACAGCCTCTGAGCTTTAAAATCGTCCATCATTGACAAGGTTGTTTCTTTCATATGCTGGGAAAGGGTGGTTTAGGCAGCAAGATTGAGAACTGACTCTTCACATTGATAATATATCTCGTCTTATGTGATCATGAATGCTACATTAGTGCAGAAGCAGGAGGTTGGACCTGAAGTCCAGAGTTTCCACTACTCTACTCGGTTCACATTATAACTACATACATATACTCTGATCGTCCTTACAGAATGATTCAAGGAGCTTCTCATATCATTCTGTAAATTAATCGGAGAGCAGTCCTGAAGTGGAGTGGTTTTAGACAAGATCAAGATTGGACGTACTGGAGTCCAATTTATCTTAATTCGAGAATTAGTTTTTAGATTTTACGACTGCTGAAGGTTTTTCTGTAGAAGATTGAATGGTTCACTTTCATTTAGTATATCTCAAGCTTTCGATAATTTATCATGGATGCTAGAAAAACCATATTTACTCTATCCAGTCAAGTTAGATTCATCGCTGTTAAAAACACTGGTAGAACCCGTTTGAGACTACTGCTTTGAAGAACAAGAACGTACTTTTATTTGTGACGTCGAACATTGATCAGGCGATCTATCTGTGCTGAATGCACTAGTCGGGGAGCGTAAGAAAGAGTCATCGTCAGGTTCTCAGCACCAGGAAATCTCAAACAAAATTTCTAATGATGTCAATCTTTTAGCTTAGAAGACAGTTTAGAAGACATATCTCTGTATATGTCTTCTAAACCCAGAGAAATTCAGCAAAATATAGAAGCATCAGAACAGAAAGAATAGAGCAGTTACAGTCGGAGATAGAAGGATTGAGAACAGCTTAATAGATTATAGCTGACGCAGCACAAAGGTTACTATCATCATGATCAATTTACTTCAAGTGCATGAGGAATTGTAGCAAATCTGTCATGCCATAAAACTCGTTCATGCCCTTGTAAAATTTCAGCTCCCGAAAGCAATGCTCAATACATCTGAATGAATAGTTTGCTTTGTTTATAGCAGCCGATTGTACTACTGGAGTCTGATCTCTTTGATCTGAAATGTACCACTATGTATTGAAAGAAAGATAGAAAGAGATTACTCTCGTATGCATCCAAGCTGAAGAGGTGGTAGCGATCAGAATTGCTCTCCTGAGCTTTGGTGGTGGAACTGCACTTTCAGCAGCCTCAAGTCAACTTGGACGGTTATGAACACAGATCATCAGATGATCAAGTTCCCCCCTGATCTTAGACAATGAATATGCCACACTCAAGAGCCGGATCACGGGCTAGAAGCAACTTGTCTGATGCATGTGCGTTTGACCAATATAAAATGCTTCTACTCCCCACCCCAGTTCGTTGCACGATACCACAGCGCATCAGGAGTCTATTGACTATGCTCTTTATCCACAATCCATCTTGACGGCTGTAGCCCTTGGCTCAGCCAGGAGGCAAACGAAACGAGCCCCCTCATGAAACCGAGTTTCCAGTATCAGTACTGGCGCTTCCTTAAGCCCATCAGTACGAACCACGCCAGCTTGCAGTGGGGGAGGTGGGGTGGGGCACCCAACTTCATGCTCGAGCTCATCGTCGAACCAAAGTGCTCCTACAGAATCTTACGGTATTCCATTCAGCTCTTCTCCACAAGGCTCGCAAGCCGCGGTCCCAATATCCAGTCACGTCCTCTTCTCTCTCTGGATTAGATTCGCAACGAAGCCGCGTTGGATTCACACTTAAGGAAGAATAAATCACACTCGCATGTTGCATCCCGGGATCAACATCCCTGATCTTCGATCCATGTTCCCCGCACAGCCATCCATGCATCCATGCATATTCCTGAAGATGAGTTCAGAGTCGGGCCGCAGGGGCGGCTTTGAACATGGATGACACCGAAATTGCAACCTCTGCTGCGCTCCCTGGGATGCAGGGAAGGAAGGTTTAGGGAGCACTTGACAGAGTGAGGGGTACTGGAGCAACTGAATAGATCCGAATTCTGAAGCTGGGCAGCAATGGGTGTCTAAACCATTCGGGACGTTAATCCATGCATCGGAATGAGGAACTGGGAGCTGGGAACCGGAATGGAGGTGTTCGTGACGAGTGAGGAAGATGCGGCAGGATCAGCACCAGCTCCCACGGGCCGAGCAAGCAACTGCAGATAATTTCTTAAGGCAGTGTCATGGCCGAAATCATGGCAAGAGAAACAGAGCAGGGAGCCTTGTTTCTGCTCCGATGATGCCACCGTGACACCAGGTCCAACTCAGGTCTGACCATTGCCGTCCACCGTAAGCCTAGAACCTCTGTTCGAGAGGCGGGCCGGGTCTTCCGCCTCAGAGGCAGGGACGGCCTGAAATACGTTCACTGCAGCACTTCCTCGAGGCACCACATGCCTCGCCTTCAGGATCCATGTCCGCACAAGCACCCTCCAGAGTGGTAATCTGCATGCTCCACGACGTCGTGGGGAACTCGAACCACTTCCAGCCCCTAGCTCGGGCTGGGCTGAGGTGAGGTGAGTGAACCAGAGGCTCAAGGTCTGATAACTTGGCGTCAATTCGGAATCTCCCACGTGCACCTTGTGACAACTCAGGCTCGAGAACCAAGAGCTGCAGGAGTACCCCTTGATATTTTCAGATCGCCAACGGCCGAGAAGCACCTCGTTTCAATTTTCAGTTTCCAGGATGAGCAGGACAGGGAGAAAAACCAGAAAATCTTGTCCGTGTCCTTGAGCTCAATTCTCGGCCTATGGCTAAGTTAAAGAATGTAATGCCCATAGAGACTGTGGCAGGATACTGGTGAACCGGACCATAAGGCCTGGCTTTGCTCTGATTTAGTGGCATGATGAACCGGGCGGGCCATAGCTGGCATTGAATAGCTCGGATTACTCTCGCCAGCTGGTTAGGCCCCTTGCCGTGGCTGTGAATTTGGTGCACCTTTTTTAAGAAAAGGACGTCTAATAGTTGCAAGAATGAAGAGAGGTGCAATTCGCACGCGGACAGAAGATTTGAATATTTCCTCGGTCTTTGAAATTGCATAATCGATTAGTATTATTTTGACCGAAGTGAAGATCATGGGAGCGCATGATGGTTGAAACACGTCAAACAATTTCTGACTCTTCCCGCATGCGCACCAGCAAAATTAGCTGAAGGATCTACTTTTCAGCCGTCGAACCTCTAGGGGAAGGAGGGAGGGAGGGAGGGAGGGAGAGAGAGACTGAGCACACGTTTGGCGAGCAGCAAAAGGCACTTTCAACTGTTACAGCGGGTTCGTGCTCTCCATATATTTCGGAACAGAATTTAGGCCTGTTTGAGCTCAACTAGCAGTACTCTTCGTCAGTAGATGGATCCGGGTGGAGCTTTTAAGTTCTCACTTCCGTTTGTCATGTCTTCAGTTCTCTGTATGTGAGTCAAGTCACACAGGGAGCATCAAGAGCTCGGGAGTTATTTCTGCTGTCCGCTGAAGTATCTATCGATAGTATGGTGCTCAAGAACATGTTCTCGTCCTCGAGCAATGCTACGTTTTGAACCTGCAGAAGTTGAACTCTGATACTGAAGTCATGCGCCGGAGCGGTGTTGTGTGAGCAGCTTTGTTCCCTTGACCTCGAGCTCACTCGTAAATGGGTGCATGAGCTCGAGGTTCAGTTATCTCTGCTTCATCTTCCTCGATTGCTACTACTGCTGCTGCTGCAGCTACTGCCGCAACCGAACAAGCACACGCTCTTCTTTCAGGCGGGAAGCTCATCTGTAACAATGGCTCTGTCGGAAGTGGCAGCCATGGGGACGTCAATCATAGCGGCGGCTCAGAGTGTCAAGACTCACGGAGAGAATTGGTACAAGATGTCGTCGGCGTGGGAGAAGTTTCCGGGCCAGGTGACGGATCTGCGTCAAAAGCACGCGAGCCTGGTGTCCATACTGACCAGATCTGGGATGGTGTTCGAAAATGCCGATACCACCTTGCTGGACCAGATGAGTGTGCTGAGCCAACAGCTGGACATGGAGGAGAACAGGTTGGATCGCATGTCCGGTGGCTGTCTGTCCTGTTGCTTTCCACGGCTCACAGGGTTCCCGAATAAGATCGGCAACGGCATGCAAAATGTGATCGATGGATTCGACAAAATCCTCCAACGATTCGATCATTTGAGGAGTCTGTCCATTAGAATCATGTCCATGAGAAGATCTAACTTCGACGATCCTCATGCCAAGCAGTAGGTCCTGCCTAAAGACCGCACATGAGAGCTAGCTCTTCACTGACGTAGTGGTCCTTCCATAATCTCAGCCAACCAACAACTCCAACAACAACAACTACAACAACAAGTGCTCGAGTCGCTGGAGCACGCCCATCAAACAACACGTGCTCATGATATATTTTTGATCAGAAAGCTCCTACTCAGATCTGGATCCTACCTTCCGGGTCTCCTATTGTAGATTACTATTCTACAGACTTGCAGTGTGCTAAAGCAGCTCTTACTCTGCATTTCTGATCTAGCCGTTTGTAGTCCATTCTCGTGCAGGCATTGTGGCGTGCCTGCTGAACCTGAAGAGCTTCGGTAATGTAATGGATGCTGCACCCTCGCAGCTCCTACTATCGGCACTGGGTCTTGCTTGCCCTCGATAGAGAACTGTGATCCAAACCTACGTGGCCGAGGAAGGGGTGGTGGGCGAGGTGCAGCCCTAGAGTTGTCCATCTTCCTCTGGCTTTCAATTCTTAACGAGCACAGAAATAGCTGAAAAATTTCCGCTCTGGATAATTGCACAAAGAATCAGTTTGTTCCCTACATTCAGTCGAAAGAGCTCTCATGGCTGTCTTCGGCATGAGTAGTAGTATTTGTAGTAGTGGTGGTAGTAGCAGTAGCAGGTATTATCGTGAATTGAACGTTAACAGCATTGTCGATATCAAGCCCACCCTTTGGACACCGGCCTCGATCGGTGAGGCAGTGATTGACTGGAGTCGTCGACAAGTTCATCACATGAACTCTGAGGAGGTGCGCGGTGAATGCAGGGGGGGCCTGGTTTTGTATAAGTAGAACCGTCACCGACATGATGCACCATGAGTTTCTCGAGAGCATTGTCGAGGTTTGTCTCTAGGGATCTTCGGAAGTGCAGCGGTAGTCAAAATCACATTCCTTTTTTGGATTGACTTGTTACAATAGGGCTATATGCAACAACAAAGCCCACGACGCATATATCTGTGAAAAGCACGCACAGAGAGTGTTTCCTCTCGGGAACAGTTGTATATGACCATAAATGTGCATTGAAATCGTAACATAATCAACTCATAGCCTAGATAGCTGAAGATTTTCATCGATCGGTCGGTCGGTCGGTTTCGGATCGATTTTCATCTAGTACTGGTGCCGGATCGAGATCGGTTTCGCACGTACAGTATTGTTTGCTTGCTTAAGCTTAAAGAGCAACTCTGTAATCAGAGTTGTCTGTCTGTAAGTCAGTGAGTCAGTTAGTGAGTGGCCTCAGAAACCGATGACAATGTAAACAGCTTCGTCAGTCTCTGAGTCTCTGAGTTCTCAGCTCTGCACTCTCTCTGATCATGGGGCCAGAGCAATCTTGTATGCCGCTTGTGCATGCGCATGCCAATTCCTTCGCTCTCCTACATAAAATTTGATGAAAATTTTGTTCACCTTGTCTCCTGATCTCAACTACCGTCTGGGCTAGTCCATAGATTTCTACATCCTTGCTGCTGTGCTCGCAGGTATCAGAACTCTTGCCATGAAAAACTCTCCCATTACTAAAGAAAGCGTTTCTCTCATCTCATCGTTTCAACAAACGAACCGAACGAGTCAAGTCTACGTCAAGTTTAGTGTACACACGAAACAATTTTCCTCAATTGTGTCGATGAAAAATCACACGGTCACCAGTTATTCGTTTAGGCTACTGTGAATCACAATTTTACCTTGTAACTTTTTTGACAATCTACCAATATCAAGTCTTTCCCACCCGCATGGAGCACGATGCATGTGGGCAAATCGACCTTCGAGACAGTAGCATAATTCTCGTGATGTCCGTCATGTAATTCTCGATTCCGTCATGATACAGGGGTTATCATCCTTGGACTTCAGCTCGACTGATTGACTTGACCACGGTCGACCTGAGGTGAGCATGACTAGCATCGCTGGAGGCATTACTACAGTCCGACTATCATGCACTGTATTCATTCAGGTGCTCTTGTTGTGGGCCTTGAGAATAATGTATCTAGTTTAGCCCCTCCTGTTGCAACCTATGCACTCTTCTTGCACTTGTTCTAGCTTTGTCACCAGTGGTAATAGCGCGAACTCGAAGCCTGCGCTTGCGGGGCCAAAGATTGAGGAGATAGTGATGAGCGTCGAGTCCATGTTTGTCCGTCCACGAGAGAATTCAGCAGCAGCATCTGCAGATGATTGATTTTTATCTGCTGCTGTTCACATGAACTGTGCCAACGACAGCACACGCTTCCGACTGTACTTGATACTCTTAGCTGGGCCAGATCATCTTACTAGCAATTACTCGGCATCATTCACTTCGTGCCCATGACCTCACATTCGTCATAAGTCGAATACTCGTTTGACTGTCCTCTCCTGATGTTGAGCTCACAAATTCATACTCCACTGTTATCATATTTGTGTATTCTGTAGGAAGGTATGGATACAAGCGCAATATTAGCCGAGGCTATTTCAGACTTCTCGCATACTCGAGCCACCGCTGAACGAGGAAAATTCGCTAATGAGCCAGCTTTCGAAATTTTAAGGCCTTTACTGAACGGTGATGTCTTGGAATACTCACTTGTTCTGCCAAGTAGATGTGTCTGGACAATAACACGCTTATACTCTCGAGAATTATTGAAGGTCCTACAAGGACACATGTCATAAGCACGGAGTTTTCCCTCTCTGGATTTTTACAAGCCTTTGGTTGCAATCGCAGGTGCATTATGGCAACGCTGTGAGTGGAACAATCCTCATTACCTGTGAACTCTTCTCATTTACTCCTTTAACGCTCACGTTCATTACTTTTAAGGCTGTGCCGTATACATCCAGCCATTTTTGCATGCACGTGCATTGTGTTCTACTCCATGATTGCCATCTGTGAACCATGTGCGTGTTACCACAATTCATATTTACTCCATGGACACTAATATCGTACTCTCGATCGGTTATTCTAAGAGTCTATGACAGACATTCGCCAAATTCATTCAAAGTGAAGCCGTGACCGAGAAACATGTGATTGAGGATGTAGGACTGTTAATGACCGGAACTCGATACTCATTTCCAGCATTGAAAAATACCTTTTATTCTGAATCGCTCGACATCTGTTGCTACTGCATCAAAATTCACTGCATCAATACGTAAACGACGAAATGCTACAAATATCACTATTTCCTGAACACTAGTTTCGATGAACAACAAGAAATTTGCTGTCTGCCACAAGATACAATCGTCCACTAAAATGGAGCGCTGGTTCAGCCGTTGTCTGCTCTGAAGAGTACCTGCAGGGTTGCCCAGAACGTAAGTGAAGTTTATTAAACAGAAGACTCTGTTATGCAATTTTTCATCTAGTGTGCAAGAGCAAGGGCGGTCAACTTACTCTGGATTAAGATATCCCATGGTTCCTTTGACTCCTGTTCAGATCCCAGTCTGGGACCTTCCAATTCTGATTTGGAAATTCCGAAGTCGGCAACTTTGGGATTCAGGTTCTCATTAGGGAGGATGTTGTTAATTTTCACATCTCCATGTATATTGGGAGGTGAATGGAAGGTGGGTAGATAATTCAAGCCTGCAGTCGTATGGAACATTTCATGAGTACACTTCTTTTGTTTCTACCGACATCCTTAACCAATTTTTTGCGTTTACAAGTTAGGGGCATAACTTTACAAGCTGGATAGTGCAGTGATTAATATCAGTTTTTCTCTTTCAACTTGAATCGGTGCAGCTTATAATTTCTGACAATCATTCTGACCTTGCTCCGCTCAGAGCAATCTCCAGTCGCTTCGTTTACAGGACATCCCTGGCTTTTTGTCTGGTCGATACATTCATACGCATTTGCAAATTTCTTCAGTAAAGGTACAGGTGGATAAACGTGGTAAGAAGGAATCAGCGAATATTAAAATTAGAATAAAAGATCCTCATCACTGTTTCTCAAGGAGACTCGCTATTTGTTGTATTGATCGTATGATCCAATCATCCAATGGTTGACATTGATTTGTAAATTTCATATAAAAAATTAGTATTATTCATGTTTCAATATATATTATCAGGCCATAATTAGCATTCAGCCTATCAAAGATTTATATTATGATTACACTTCTTTTTAAATGGCATCAAATGGTTATTCTGTAAAGAAGAGTTTGCTGTGATAGTACCTCGTGTTACTCTATATATTAGCTCTCGATTCTAATGCAGTGGCAGGACCGAAAAGTGAAGTCAGAAATTTCGCTCTAGGTAGAAGTTTTCATCGAACAAGCTTGTAAGAACACGCTCTTGAAAATACATTCTCACCATATTGTGTGATATATATATATATTTCCAGACTTTCAATTGCAGTTCCAGTGCATACCAGCAAAGCTTGCAACATAATGTCACCCACGACATTTGCGACTTTACTGATCACTGGGATGCAGAAACTAAATTACACTATATTGGTGAGGTGACAGTGTTACATAATAGAAGCTGTGAGTATCTTCTTCTCTAAATGGCTTTGCTCCACTGTAGTGAGTTGTGAAGCTATATTTTCTTCTGATATAATATCCTGTTTTGGTGTTGAAGAACGTGGATTTCTTGCAGTGCCAATCGTCCTATCTAAGCACACAGCAATGTCAATCCTTGTTGGGAAGGATGACTTTTGTTTTGCTGCCTGTGCCGTTTATGTAGAAACTTGGAAGTTTCACATGAAACCTCAGTGAGGCACCTAATAACTGAGGAGTGACCAAGACGTATGTATGACCAATACCTACTGTAAGATGATCTGACTGTTGTTTTCTGTGATAATCTGAATACGTGAACATGTGGTTGTCCAGATGACGAGTGAGTGTGACGGAAATCTGAAGTTCTAGGGGAGCCGTATCATCTGCCTCCAGTCTGATGCGAGCTAGAGAGCCCAACATGAAATAGCATGCAGAAAGAAACCTGGATAATAATTACAGAATATACCGTAGTGGAACATGGAATGCCGTACCTCGACTGATGTACATACGTACAACAATATCAATTGCAATCAACAACTCGCCTCCTGCGCTCGTACGATCTAGTGTCCGCCTAAACCGTCCGCACCCAAACTACTCGTCATAGCCGCCCGCACTTGTCTTGCCCTGCGAATTGACCCGCTCGTCTTTTGTCTTCTGCTAGTTAATGAGGATTATTGACTGATGACTGAGGGAAGACATGTACTCTTCTCCCCGCTCTCGTGTACCCCGGCTTTCGCCAGTCCCGATATCTCTCCTCCATTTCGCGCTGACACTGAGGGAAGGCATCATCTGGATATGAGGATGCGAGCACTGATTATCGTTTAGACTCTCGCTATTGGGAACGTTATACATAATCATCAATCATCACAGCGCAATGAGTGTGTTCTTATAGAGGTGTCTCGGAGGAAAGACTCTTAGTAAAGACTCTTCGGAATTTCACTTTTTTCTGTTTTTGATAAAGGCTAGGGCCCGTAACCAGAGTCCTGGGTCGACCAGTATATAAAGGAAGCGGACACTATTCACAGTGTAAGGCAGACACTTCCATCTCTTCTAGAAAGCACATCAGTGTGAAGAAAATCTCCTGCAGAAGTAGCGGGAACCAGAGCCAGAAAAGTTACGAAGTGAATCCGAATCATCGAGATTATTACGAAGGAAAGACAGGAAGGGCCGAAGGGCTTGAAAATAGCATATTTGTAATTTTAATCCCATTTTGTTGCTTTCACAAACTCAAGCTAGCGGACGGCCATTTTTAAGGTCTTTGTGACTATCTTCAAACTATGTCAGAACTGTCCTTAGAATTGTGCGCTCTCACAATTCTTCTTCATATTCATCTTTCTCGAAGAGACGGGCCGTTTTTAAGATCTTTGTGACTATATCCAAACTACATCAGAACTGTCCTCAGAAATGTGCACACTCACAATTCTTCTTCATATTCATTGCTTTCTCAAACCGGTGTAACGTGTTCATTGTGCTCATTGTGCACGATCTTTTTTGTTCAGTTAGCTGGTTCTTCATGACACTTCATAACTCATGAATGAATTTGTTGAAAAACCAAGTGTTCTGAACTAGTTCCAGGCTAGCGTTTCCATCCATTAGCAACTGATACCTGCAAGCTTGTAAGTTTTGGGACATGCTGAATAATTTCTGTGTGATTTATTTGTATCTGGAGCAGTAAAATTATGCTCTATCTCATCTTTCGAAATAGCAAACTACGATGTCGTTTGTATGATCTTTTGATCAGAATAGCTTCGAGAATATATATTGAATAGAATTGAATTAAAACATTTCATTATCAGAACTTTGAGAACAACTCTTTTACTCTCGCACCACCTGCACATCCCTGTCTAATCTCGATGGATACTGTCACACAGTTAAAGATGTTCGACGAGTGTGGTAAAAACACTAAGCGGTAGTGGTGGAGGAGGTGTTGTTGGAG